TGTGTTGAAGATAACCGTGAGCTAGAGTACCATTCTCACTCAATTTTAGACCAATTTTATGATAGAGCCCAACACTCTTATCCCTCAAATTCGCAGGGCCTTTAGCTCCATTTCATTTTGTACTTGCGTTCAATTTTGTTCTTCCATAATTATTCTCTTGTTGAAGTGTTTTGTTTTGGAGATTAACCTGGTTCCTTCAAAATTAATTTCATGTCCTATAGCTTTAAGGTGCTGGAAAATGGCAGGTCCGATCACACTTTAAGCCCAAAACCCAGCCTGAAGATGGCGAGTGAGACCTCGCTGAAATGTTGCCAAGACAATCTCAATCTTACACGGGAAAAGACCCGAATACAACAAGACCAGCATATATATATTCTACAATATAAAATAGACAATTTGTGGTAGAATGAACTAATTAATATGCACAATATCTAGCAAAGCATGAGCTCATTTGATGTGAAATTTGTAGAACTGACCTGCTGAAAGGGCTCACTAAAGAGCCACATCCCCTTTCTAATCAAGATGACTCACATTGAGCTCAGCAAGTCTTATCTGATTAAAAGTAGGTTAAATGGAAGAACAAAATTGAAAGCAAGTACAAAATGAAATGGAGCTAAAGGCCCTGCGAATTTGAGGGATAAGAGTGTTGGGCTCTATCATAAAATTGGTCTAAAATTGAGTGAGAATGGTACTCTAGCTCACGGTTATCTTCAACACATGGCAGTTTTAACTACAGATCCATTTCCTGAAATCATTTAGCTGACTATCTACCAACTACAAAGAATATACTCTGTTAATGAATATTGCACTGCTCAGAAGAATTAAGACATTTGACCAAACTCGGGAGAGGGGGGGGGGGGAATCTTTGTAAATCACAACCAATAATAATGGCAAAAGGCCTATCTCATCACATAGTTTTCCTACGTTCTCCATCTACCTGATATCATTCTCCACAAAATGCCTCTGTGAATTATGGACTAAGATCATTGGAATCCATATTATACAGGGTTGAGTTATTTTAGTATCTGTTCATTCATGTCCTTTAATGAGGAATACATGTTTATCTCAATCTATCAGCACAACTCTTACATAACTTACAAGAAGGGGTACTTTTTGTTGTTATGATCCAGGTATTTTTAAATGAGTTTGTTGGCCACAAAAGAACACAGTAGTGAAGTTACTCCAAAAGGCATACATTTTAAAGCTGATTTTCTCCCTTGTTTTTTTTTGGGGGGGGGGATGTTTCCGTTAAGAGGATATTTGATAGGGATTTAAGCAAGAAAGGGAAGGTATTAAACTCTATAGCGGCTTAATATGTCATACAGCTTACTTTTACCAAAAGCTGTAGAGAAAGGAGCCATCAAAAATAAATATTTTCCTGCTGAATATTAGCCTATGCTGTCAGACATCTCTTTCCTACATGAATATTAACTATCATAAAGAAAGAGAAAGTGTGGCTGTAATAGGGAAAGAAATATTTACATTTGCATTTAATAATCTATCAAACTGAAAGCCATACATAAGATGGAATAAATATGCAAATACTAAAGTTGTTCTTATTTATTTTAAGAAATACTAAACCAAAAACAAAATGGAACATATGAAAAACTGGCAGTTTCTTAATTTGGTCCAACCATAATTAGCACAACAAATAGCTTAACTAATGTAAATTAACAATCATGATTTGGTAGTTTTCATATTATAAATATATCTCAACTGGTTTCTCAGGATGTACCAGAATACAACACTCCTAGTACAGTATTATTGGTTCCTATCCAACTAGAATGTTTATATATCAACAGCATAAAAAGTCATGATTACTGTACAGTAACTGCACATTTAAGAAAACTTAGTATTACACTATAACACTCATTAAACAGGTTGAACTTATTTTATAAACACTTTTCAGTTAGAAAAACACAACAAAATAAAAATGGAGATTTGTGCAAAGCCTCAATTTGATGCTTCACTTTGATGGCCTTCAATGATGCCTCCCATGTAGCTCCATAAAACAGTTCAACTTTCAGATGGCAATTCTGATAGGCTATTTTGCATATACAAAATTATTTCCATCAATGTTAAGTGGCCTATTTCCATTCTTTGTGGAGACCCCAAAGCTTAAGCCAGTAGTTTTTCCTTTGATATGTGGTGGTATCATTGCTTCAGTAATCATAGTCAAGGCAGTTCCATGATACAATATCACTCCTAAAAAAAAAGAAACTACACAAAGAAGCTAACACTGTTGTAATCCATCAATAGTTGCTCATTTCTTATTTTGAAAGTTATTTCACTATTTCGTATCTTGCCTTTCTAGACACAATTTTTTACAAAAAAAAAAAAACCCACCAAATCTCATTAACAAAAGCACAACACAGTTTAAAAACAAATATCCAAGATAACTTCCTCCTGGGAAGATGATGTTTGAGATGAGTTTTGCCTACCTATCTAGCTTCTTTTCTTAAAAAGGCCCAAATTTTGAAGTTTCCAACTCAGTCAGCATTGTTGATGCTGCACATATTCCTAATTTCAACTCAATTAATAAGAGAGTTCCGTCATTTTTAATTAAATGAATGGGGATTTAATTGACAGCATTTGCATGATTCCCATAATGACTTCTACAATTGATTAGCTGATCTTTTTCAAAGTAATATTCTACTTCAGAAATAGTTGAGCTACAGAGAATCTACTGATAATATTATAAACTTCATTACTTTTAAGTCTAATATATTAATGCTACATTTACCTGCAAAATAATTTAGCAATTATTAGTTGTATCTGGACTACATATGAAATCAAGGAAATTTAATGAACGAGGATAGATTATTAATTTGAATTGGTTGTAATCAATTGGTTGACCCTATAGGTAACCCTATGCATATTTTCACAGAAGAAATATGTTCATATGGTCAAGATTAGACCATATATTTCTGGATCAAGATCCTAACCACCTCTCAACAAAATCAAAAATTATATTCAGCTATCTGTTGTCTTCAGGCTATTAGTGTAATGATAAAAAAAATCAAAGAAGGATGCGAGGTGTTCAATTTTTCTTTCTTTTTCTCCCTTTCAAACTACAGAATTATTAAGGGTCGAAAATTACTACTTGAGAATATATTCTGTATTTATATGGGGAAAGTATTTCAGTCGCACACTAATTCAGTGCACCACTAATATCCTGACATATTGGTTCAAATTGCTGTTTCTCCATGTATCTTTGGCCTGGATTTACCAAAGATAACAATCTTCCTACTGTTCACATAAGCTTTTATTGCCCCAGGTATAAAAATAGATGGGTACGTTCACAGTTTTCTATTGTTAGAAACAATATGTTAACAATATATTCCCAATATGTTCTAGCTCATTCAACTTGTCCAATTCCAAATTTAAAAAGAACACACTTCAAATTACAGCATTTAGATTTTTATAAACTGTACACAATTATTCAGTTTATGTAAACTTTAATTTAGCTCTCAGAAATTCTGTTATAATTCAAGTTGTGCGGTAGAATTTGTATTTTGTATTCAATTTCTTTAAGTATCTTGACTAGCATGCAGTATATGCAATAAATTGATTATTTAATTATCAGATTTCTGCTCTGTATGGCCCTCAGTTGTATTTCAGCCACGTTTCCTAATCAGAAGTGCCCCTTTTCCCTTTCCAACTCTTCTCTCTTTGCTCAAGTTCAGCTTCAGTGAAGGCCGCCGGCCCCCAGTTAGTGATCAAATAGGAATTCTTGGAACCTATAAGACATAATAGTTTAGATTTAGTAATTTAAACCTAATTTAATACATGTGTTAAAATCTAGTTCAAACATTGCTTTATGATTAGTCATTTGAGAATATAGCTGGGAAAAATATATTAAAAATGTGCCCAATCAAAAGCATTTAAATAAAAATATTTTCAAAATACCTTTGATCCTTATGTACAACAAGATGGTTTGAAATAAATGAATAAAATGAATATAAATAAACCAAATAATATTAATAAAATGGTTTAGCCGAACCTGAATTTTCAAATTAATGCATTTTGACTTGGTACCAAAAATATCATAATGCCACTACCAATTTTATTACTATGGAAGTTTAAGAATTAAAATTAAAACATCATCAAAAGAAGTCTGTCTATCTTGACTCCTCTCTCTCCGTTACTGTATAATGCACTTTTCTTAATAAAGTTTAACTGAGATGATTTCCTTCTAAAGTTCCTGTGACACAAGTAGGGGCAGAGAAGCCTTCATATTTGGAGTTCCATGTCATTTAGGGCTCCACAAGCAAAACTAACAGCTTCAATTGGACATTAAATATATAGACTTATTCAAAGTCTGACTACGCAGGTTAAATCTTGATGGTGTTATCTGCATCAAGTGAAGGTTCCAAGAAACCTTCAGAGATGCTCATATAGAAATCATTACAATAGTCTAATCAAATAGTTTTTAAAATGTAGCTTGACTATCTTGTTCAGGAAGAATGGTTGTTAAGACATTGGTAAAGTTAACTAGTTGGTACCACTGAGGCCACTTGGGAACCCATCAATCATGTTGGATGCAAAAATACATATAAGTGACACATCTAAATTGATTTAAGCTATCTTCTGGACATAAAAATATATCTGATTGATCAGTTTTCGATGTTATGATAAATCACACTCAATGCAATGTTTAATTTAAATTTAAAACAACTACTAAAACATTTAGTAATGATGACATATCAAAGCTGTTCTGAACAGCTTTCATTATATTTTCTGATAAATTATAATTAGACAATAACGTTCACATTGTATTTTAATGCCATCAACAATAATATAATTCACTTGACTGAAAATTTCCTGTTGAATCAAGAGCTTATACTCTTTATATGGTAGATTAACTCAGTGGTTGATTAACTCAGGTTTGTTGATTGAATTCCACTAAAAACCTGAAACTGAACTTCATTGTTTTTTCAAGATAAACCATAAGAAATATCCTTCAGGGGTTCAGCTCCAACAAAGAGTAAAGGAGATAGACCTATATACATTACTAGCTGTATATCCATGCTTCACAACCAAACTATGTGATAGGGCTATGCAAGAGAAATTTGGTTCACTATCAGTTGACTCAGTGGTAGTCAATGATTGAAATACATGAGAATATCACCCCCGCCGCCTTGGGTCTGGAGCAGTTCCATAGGTGGAAGGCGTAGACATTTTTGGTGAAGTACCGACATTTAGTACCATAAGGAGCCTCAGACCTCTCCTGAGTGAAGGAGTGGAATGTCTGCCAGTTTGAACTGAGGTAACAGAATGTGAGGCAACTGGCAGTTGGAACAGAGTTCTTTTCAGGTGGGGAGGGAGAGTAGAATGTTTAACCTCTTAGCATCAGAGTGTGCTAATATAAGGCAAGTGGCAGTTAGAACAGAGTTCCTTTCAGGTGGGGAAGGGGAGTAGAACTCCTTAGCATCAGTGTGTGTTAATTACTGTATAAGAAATACTAATGACTTGATGGTCATTTTGAAAAATCCTTTCTTAGTGAGCACCTAGAAGCCAAGAGGAATATATGTACCAAATTTCAAGTTTGTAGACTTTACGGTTCTGGATATTTCATGATAAGTGAGTGGTACTTGGCTTTTGTATATACTGTATATAGAAGATTCTATCCTGGATGCAACATAAATGCATCTCTTATACAGCACTTATAATTGGATAATAATAAATAAGGACAGAATAATCAAAATAACGTAAATGTTGTAACTAAACCTCAAGAGCAAAGGCTAACAGCTTTATGTCATGATGAGGCTAATGAGAAATTTGACTTGAAGGCACCTAAAAATCTCAGCTGGCAGTGTTTGCATTGACTTCCTTTCTTCTATTCGGAATTTGGTTCAGCTACGTTTCTCCAGACAATAGCACACACTAAACAGGAAGTGCAGCCTAGGCTGACTCAGTAATATTCAGACTTCTTGGAAACCATAATGGTTATTTAAGATAAAAATAACAGTATGAGTGCTGATTCACAAAATAAAGGGTTGTTTCCTACCTGGTTCAATTAATCGAATTAATCCCTCATGATGAGCTACTCTATCTTTCCAATTTTTAGTTTTGCTTGCTGCTGCTTCCAATTTCTTTTTTACCTCCTGAAACAGAATTAACACCAACATTATACAGAAACATTTTTTTTCAACAGAGATTCTCAAAACAGCACAAAAAGAATACCTTTTCCCAAGATTACAAAAAGCTGGACTTTTAAATTTTTACCTGGATGTGAGCAGGGATCCGATAAGGTCAGCACATGAAGGACTATACAATTGCAAACATTTGTAAAGCATGTATTCACAGTGCCCAAAGCCAATCTTAGCTGCTGTTAAGTTACCCATCAATTACTAGGACATAATTTTATTGTATATCCCTATAGGCATGCTTTCATAGCTACGATAAATTTACCAAATTTTATCAACTTCCTAAATCTATTCCTGATATGGCTTTGAATTACAATTATCTTTGATCCATCTCTGCTCATTTTATTATTGTACCAAACTGGTACAATGTTTTATACTAGTAATTCTCTATAGATAATTTTCAGTTAATATCTATTATTATGTCTGCGTATACAGTACAAACATAAAGGCCCAATAAGAAATGATTCAACTCTGTGAAGTGGTCAGAGACTCTGCAGTCTGGTATCTCAAAGAAGGTATAATCAAATGACTCAGATAGCCCTGTTACCAACACTTGAACACATTTAGGTGACTGATGACAAGCTGTTGTGCACACATGCTTATGGAGATGACTTGGGAAAGCTTTACAGCACCCACACTGAGCCCTCTGAGGAATGCAATTGCCTTCACCCTTCAAGGAAGAATGCCTCAGGCATATTAATGCATATTGCGAAGTGTCCCTTCGTATAATCCTAGGAAGGTTACACTAGCTCACCTCATATTGTTCAAAGGCTTGCTTCCTCTCTAATTCCAATTCTTCCAACTGCTGCATGGCGACCTGTAGAGCATGTTCCTTCATTTTCCTCTGGTTTTCCAACTCTTGCTTTTCTGCCTCAGTCACCTGAATGGCCTGTTGCTGCTCCAAGTGCCACTTTTCCAACTCTGCTCTCTTGGTTGTCTCTTCTTCTAGCAGTCTAGAAAAAAAATTAAGTAACCAAGGAGGCATATTAATTCAGGACTGACACAACATGTAGGCCTTTCCTACATGAGCTGAATAGTTAAGAAAACATAACCTAAAACAGTTCCATGGAAATTGCTCGTTTTTGTGTGTCAAGTCCATCAAGATACCACATTCAGAAATGAAAGCATCCCACACATATGGTAAGTGGTTTCCTTTTTCATTACCCCATTTAGCAGGTAGTCCTTGACTTATGACCATAGATGGGACCAGAATTTTGGTTGCTAAACAAGTCATTATGCAACTGGACCCAACTTTATGAGATTTGCCATGGTCATTAAGCAAATCATGTTAACTAAATCATATGGCAGTTAACTGAATTCAGATTTCCCAATTGACTTTGCTTGTCAGAAGTCATCTGGGAAGCTCATAAATCGCAATTGTGACCATATGATTCTGTGCCTGTCATAAATGCAAGCCATATGCCAAGCATCTGAATTATGATCATGTGAACATGGAGGAGGTAAGATGGCCATAACTTCGAGGATGGGTGGTATGTCCTTTTCCAAGGCTGTTGTAACTTTGAACCATGGTTAAATGAAGAGTCATAAGTCAAGGACTACCCGTATGTCAGTTAAATGTGCTTCATACATTTGCTTCAACTTACTTTTTGGTCTACAAACAACTCCACATGACATATTTTGTTTACATCTCTGTGGTACTTAATATGCTGAGAAGCAGAAAGAAGGAAACAATCCTTTAGAATGAGTCAAGGACAGAGAATTCTTTTTAAATGTAAGAATATTTAGGGGTGAAGGTTCGTTCTCCGAGGTTGTGGGTTGGTTTCCAAATGTTTCCGAACAAAATGTTCAGAAACCAACCCACAAGTTCGGAAAACAAAACTTCACCCTCATCCTATACCCAAACTACAGATATTCCCACTATTGCAATGATATTTAGATTACTTGGACAGTCTACAGTTTCTATAGTCTCTGCCATCCTTCTTCTGGAACATAAATGACTGCCAGCCTTAGCATCCAATTTTATCAAATTACACACTGACCTGGCCTGAAGTCTCCTGACAGTTTCCTCATCTTGACGGGCTTGTTTCTCATCCTCCAAAGCTTCCTGTAGCTGATTATACATTTCCTCAAGTTCTTTGACTCTCACTAAGTACTGCTCAAGCTCAGATGATTTCTGAGCAACCTGTTCTTCCATTTTCTGTCTTACCTAGAAAACAAGAAATGAATGAATGCTTCAGGACAAGCCGTGCTGCCTATTTCCATGGAAGAGAAGAAGAAAGTTTGCAGCCTTTTTGTCCAAACATGTGCATGCTGTTAATATATCATTAAAGAAACCACATCAGAGTTATCCCATTCTTTTGCTGACATGTACCATTTTTTCTCTCTCCAGTTCAAGACTGAATCGATCTTGTAATTCCATATGAGTCTGCAGACGTTTTGTCTCTTCTTCTGAGGCTCGAGCGGCTGCCTCTTCTAGTTGCTGGGCCAAAGAAAGAAAACAATTATCATCTGTTTCCAGTTAATGTACACATGAAAGTACAGATCAGCTATTCAATATGTACCTATAAATATACTTCTTATATTTTTTCATAAAAGCAAACATTTTATCAAAGGGAAATATGTATGTATGTATGTATGTATGTATGTATGTATGTATGTATGTATGTATGTATGTATGTATGTATGTATGTATGAAAAATTAAAAAGAAAGGAATGATGTGCATCAAGAAGGGGGTAAATTAAGGAGGGAAATATCTCCAAGTCTCCCCTAAGGCTTCATGTAAAACTTTCTGAAAAGATCAAGCATTATCAGCTCTCAAAAAGTGCATAAACAATAAAAAGTTGGGGAAAGATTAAACTCTACATAGGTTTCTGTAGAGCTAGAGATAAGATAAACATTTCCAAAAATAGCACAGTCAATGCTGAAAACTCATGCAAAACCTGTTCCTTCTAGTTCAAATTTACTGTCAAAATAAGTAAGCTACAGTATTTTGTTGCACAAGTCTGAGAAATTTGGCAACTAAATTTCTCTAGTAAAGTAATCCCCACGTATTTTGAGACACGCCCAATTAGAAGTTTCTGAATGGTTTAGTTAAATGAAAACAAGGAAGTAGTATAATGGAGCGCTTCTGCAACATTAAATGCTTACAGTAGCACCACTGTTGGTTCCTAATTTTCTCAAATTGCTGTTAGGAAGGCATATTTCAATGACTCAGGTAATTTGGCTTGGCTGAACTGACATTTTTTTCTATCAACAATTAAACTTTAGGTTTGGATTAAGATAAACTTGAACTCATTCTTGTTTTTGTTAGGTTGCTATGCTGCTTAACAAAATATAGCAAGCCACCATCAGTGTCAAATACCCAAATTCAGCATCTATGACAATGTTTTTCTAAAACTTCAGAATGACACAATACTCCTGCCTCATTTCATAAGTACTCTCTGTGTTCTTGGATTCATTACTTGACTAATGCTGGAACTTTTCCTTGACAGTCTGGTTGAAATATATAAATAATAGCTTTTACGTGCTATATTCTGTTCTTGTATATTTATTCTTTGCTGGAATGCTCATTTCATTTTACATTGAAAGTGCTCAGATGTAAAAATATATCTCATTCTACAATCACCATTAAAGATATTTTAGATGTGCATATGTCAAATTTTAGCTGTGAAATAGCCTAACAATTCTGCAATGATCAAAGCTGCCAATGAAGATCTGGAATCTTAGTTATTATTTACAGACAGTTATGCTTTCATAGGCATAAAATAATCATGCATATGAAAGCATTAGGAGAAAAAAAAGCAGACACTCTTATCATTTCCTTAGTCTGCAAAATTATTTCAAGCTTAACTGAGTGTCTGGCGTCACCCAAGAAATCTCTCCTTGACTGCAAAACAACTAAGATAAGCAATGTGCAAATTACTGGGAAAAATACCTCTGTTATCATTCCAAACTAGAACTTTTGTGGTTTCAGTACATAGCATTTTTCTTCCAACAACTCTTTCTTTAAATCCAATAAAACATCTATATTCACCCCCAATCTTTGTGGGGACAAATAATTTCTCCTGCCCTCTCAGTTTTCCATAAAATAACATATCCAGGAACATTTAAGAAGAATGATGCAATTACCAATTCCCTGTGGCAATGCTGTAATCTTAAGAAGGAACGTCCTCCTTTCTGAATGCCCTGAAGACTTGATTTTAGACAATTGTGTTCAGGACACTTTCCTAGGAAAGTAGACTATTTTATTTCCATATGTTAATACATACATTGCTATAGTCATGAACCACAGTGTACTGGTTAAGCTACTGGACAAATAATGGGTAGACTGGTTCTAGTGTTTTAACTATAGAAGCCAGTTATGAGGCCCTGGGCCAGTCAATCCCTCTCAGTCCAAATCAATGTCAGATTCTGCAGTGAACAGCCTGAAACGTAGCCTCCTCAGGGCATCATACATTGACAGTTCTGTTGCGTGAACTAAGTGAGCCTGAAACAAAATCAGAAGATCCTACTATTTAGCAGGACAAATTCTAAGAACATCATTAATCATTAATAAAAAGAACTAAGAAGAACAATGACTTCTACAGTCCCCTCAAATCTATGGCCTCAGAAATACAGTTTACAACTAAAGTACTAATCCTACATTCTAGAATGCTACAAAATCTCAGATTTACCTTTCGGACGGTTTCCAGTTCCTTCTGTTTATTTTCATTTGCTATTTGGAGCTCTTTCATTTGTCTCTCCAGTTCTGCTTGTTCCGCTTGCAGTTTTTGGCGTAATTCTTTCCGTTTCTGGCGTGCCTCTTTATGAGGTGAAGGGCTTTTTAATTTCAGCAGATTTACCGTTGTCTGAATGGCTAAATAATTAGAATAGCCACAATAATATTTCTAGCTTAAGCCCATAAATACCTTTATTACTTTTTCAATCTTACAATGCTGTTTGGTTTCTAACATTCATCAATAATTTTAAAAATAAAGCCACATTTGTTTGCCAAAAAAAAACCCATAGTGTATCAATATCAAATGTAATAGTGATATATAATTATAGTACCCTGTTTCCCCCAAAATAAGACAGGATCTTATTTTATTTTGACCCACAAAATATGGCTTGGGCCTTATTATCAGGGGAGGGCTTATTGTTTTGGGGCTGCCAGGCGGCTGCTCCCTTGCAAGCGGGTTCCCGAAGAGCCAGGCATAGCCTCAGGGGTGAAGCAACCATGAGGTGACCACACTCACGAGCAATCAGAGTGCGCTCTATGAGCTGCCATTGCTCGAAGAATTGGAAGCCAAGTTCTGGAGTTTGGAAACTAGAGAAGAAGTTATGCTCGAAGCACGGTGGTGAAAGCGGCAGCGGTACCCTGGCCCCGCAGGGAGAGCTGGGCCAGGGCATGGTGAGGCTGGGAGGCATGCGAGCTGGGGGCAGAACAGGCGCTCGCGGAACCACCCTCTCNTAGTAAAAAAAAATGCTTAAAAGTTTTTTAAAAAAAAAAGTTCTGAAGCTCAGCTGTGCAACATGCAATCATCGGAACGTTCTTTTAAAAAGATTTTTTTTTAGTATTTTTTACTGCCGGTTGGGGCGAACCGGCCTGAACTGGTAGCATCTCACCCCTGGTATAGATTTCCCTCCTTAAGCAGGGGGCTGGACTAGAAGACCTCCAAAGTCCCTTCCAGCTCGTTCCTTCTGCTCTAAAGGCTTGCCCAATGTCCTCCTCCGACTCCAGCCCTCTTCCTCTTCTGCAGATTCCCGAGAACGTCTTCCAGGCACAAGTCCAAGGTGTGACTATTTCAGCCGCCGCTAATCAATTGGGGGCCGTGGAGAGGATCCTGTCCGAAGCCCAGCCTCCACCCCTGGATGCCTCTTCTCTCCTGGGTGTCTTCCAGCTGTTGAAAGAGGTGTCCGATGTGGAGGTGGAAGAACCGAGTCAGCTGGCAGCACTGGAACAGCTGGGTCAACATTATGTGGAGGTTACAGGGAGACTCCTGGAGGAGAAGATTACAGAGGATTGGTCTCAGATCAAGATGGTAAAAATAATAGTATTGGGGAAGGGTCTTTGAGAGGCTTCTAGTCTACTAAAGAGAATAGGTTCATAGAATAGAATGGAATGGAATGGAATAGAACAGAGAAAAGAAGAATGGAATAGAATAGAATGGAATAGAATAGAATAGAATAGAAAACAGATAAGAAGAATGGAATGGAATAGAACAGAACAAAACACAGAACAGGTTACAGAATAAAATAGATTACAAGAGTAGAATAGAATGGAATGGAATAGAATAGAATAGAGATAAGAAGAATGAACTGGAATAATATGGAATGGAATAGAGTAGAGTAGAATAGAATAGAAAACAGATAAGAAGAATGGAATGGAATAGAATAGAAGTATAGACTAGAGTAGAACAGAACACAGAACGCAGAAGAGGTTACAGAATAAAATAGATTACAAGAATAGAANTATGTATGTATGTATGTATGTATGTATGTATGTATGTATGTATGTATGTATGAAAAATTAAAAAGAAAGGAATGATGTGCATCAAGAAGGGGGTAAATTAAGGAGGGAAATATCTCCAAGTCTCCCCTAAGGCTTCATGTAAAACTTTCTGAAAAGATCAAGCATTATCAGCTCTCAAAAAGTGCATAAACAATAAAAAGTTGGGGAAAGATTAAACTCTACATAGGTTTCTGTAGAGCTAGAGATAAGATAAACATTTCCAAAAATAGCACAGTCAATGCTGAAAACTCATGCAAAACCTGTTCCTTCTAGTTCAAATTTACTGTCAAAATAAGTAAGCTACAGTATTTTGTTGCACAAGTCTGAGAAATTTGGCAACTAAATTTCTCTAGTAAAGTAATCCCCACGTATTTTGAGACACGCCCAATTAGAAGTTTCTGAATGGTTTAGTTAAATGAAAACAAGGAAGTAGTATAATGGAGCGCTTCTGCAACATTAAATGCTTACAGTAGCACCACTGTTGGTTCCTAATTTTCTCAAATTGCTGTTAGGAAGGCATATTTCAATGACTCAGGTAATTTGGCTTGGCTGAACTGACATTTTTTTCTATCAACAATTAAACTTTAGGTTTGGATTAAGATAAACTTGAACTCATTCTTGTTTTTGTTAGGTTGCTATGCTGCTTAACAAAATATAGCAAGCCACCATCAGTGTCAAATACCCAAATTCAGCATCTATGACAATGTTTTTCTAAAACTTCAGAATGACACAATACTCCTGCCTCATTTCATAAGTACTCTCTGTGTTCTTGGATTCATTACTTGACTAATGCTGGAACTTTTCCTTGACAGTCTGGTTGAAATATATAAATAATAGCTTTTACGTGCTATATTCTGTTCTTGTATATTTATTCTTTGCTGGAATGCTCATTTCATTTTACATTGAAAGTGCTCAGATGTAAAAATATATCTCATTCTACAATCACCATTAAAGATATTTTAGATGTGCATATGTCAAATTTTAGCTGTGAAATAGCCTAACAATTCTGCAATGATCAAAGCTGCCAATGAAGATCTGGAATCTTAGTTATTATTTACAGACAGTTATGCTTTCATAGGCATAAAATAATCATGCATATGAAAGCATTAGGAGAAAAAAAAGCAGACACTCTTATCATTTCCTTAGTCTGCAAAATTATTTCAAGCTTAACTGAGTGTCTGGCGTCACCCAAGAAATCTCTCCTTGACTGCAAAACAACTAAGATAAGCAATGTGCAAATTACTGGGAAAAATACCTCTGTTATCATTCCAAACTAGAACTTTTGTGGTTTCAGTACATAGCATTTTTCTTCCAACAACTCTTTCTTTAAATCCAATAAAACATCTATATTCACCCCCAATCTTTGTGGGGACAAATAATTTCTCCTGCCCTCTCAGTTTTCCATAAAATAACATATCCAGGAACATTTAAGAAGAATGATGCAATTACCAATTCCCTGTGGCAATGCTGTAATCTTAAGAAGGAACGTCCTCCTTTCTGAATGCCCTGAAGACTTGATTTTAGACAATTGTGTTCAGGACACTTTCCTAGGAAAGTAGACTATTTTATTTCCATATGTTAATACATACATTGCTATAGTCATGAACCACAGTGTACTGGTTAAGCTACTGGACAAATAATGGGTAGACTGGTTCTAGTGTTTTAACTATAGAAGCCAGTTATGAGGCCCTGGGCCAGTCAATCCCTCTCAGTCCAAATCAATGTCAGATTCTGCAGTGAACAGCCTGAAACGTAGCCTCCTCAGGGCATCATACATTGACAGTTCTGTTGCGTGAACTAAGTGAGCCTGAAACAAAATCAGAAGATCCTACTATTTAGCAGGACAAATTCTAAGAACATCATTAATCATTAATAAAAAGAACTAAGAAGAACAATGACTTCTACAGTCCCCTCAAATCTATGGCCTCAGAAATACAGTTTACAACTAAAGTACTAATCCTACATTCTAGAATGCTACAAAATCTCAGATTTACCTTTCGGACGGTTTCCAGTTCCTTCTGTTTATTTTCATTTGCTATTTGGAGCTCTTTCATTTGTCTCTCCAGTTCTGCTTGTTCCGCTTGCAGTTTTTGGCGTAATTCTTTCCGTTTCTGGCGTGCCTCTTTATGAGGTGAAGGGCTTTTTAATTTCAGCAGATTTACCGTTGTCTGAATGGCTAAATAATTAGAATAGCCACAATAATATTTCTAGCTTAAGCCCATAAATACCTTTATTACTTTTTCAATCTTACAATGCTGTTTGGTTTCTAACATTCATCAATAATTTTAAAAATAAAGCCACATTTGTTTGCCAAAAAAAAACCCATAGTGTATCAATATCAAATGTAATAGTGATATATAATTATAGTACCCTGTTTCCCCCAAAATAAGACAGGATCTTATTTTATTTTGACCCACAAAATATGGCTTGGGCCTTATTATCAGGGGAGGGCTTATTGTTTTGGGGCTGCCAGGCGGCTGCTCCCTTGCAAGCGGGTTCCCGAAGAGCCAGGCATAGCCTCAGGGGTGAAGCAACCATGAGGTGACCACACTCACGAGCAATCAGAGTGCGCTCTATGAGCTGCCATTGCTCGAAGAATTGGAAGCCAAGTTCTGGAGTTTGGAAACTAGAGAAGAAGTTATGCTCGAAGCACGGTGGTGAAAGCGGCAGCGGTACCCTGGCCCCGCAGGGAGAGCTGGGCCAGGGCATGGTGAGGCTGGGAGGCATGCGAGCTGGGGGCAGAACAGGCGCTCGCGGAACCACCCTCTCCAGCCGGGCAGAGCTCCACGCACTGACCTAGGGGTATCCCGAATGAGCCAAGCCGCGGGAGCTTGGGGGCGGGTAGAGCGCCATGTGGCTTGGCGCCTTGGGGATACCGCTAGGTCGGTGAGCGGTGCTCTGCCTGGCTGGAGGGGGGATTGTCCAGGGGCTTATTTTCAGGGGGGGCTTTATATTTTTGCCCACGCAAAAAATGTGGCAAGGCCTTAGTTTCAGGACAGGTTGTATTTTCGGGGAAACATGGTATGTGAAATATCAGAATGAAAACAGTTAATATCAAATACAATTTGTACTTTGTAATAATGCTAGTTCTCCATACAATGAAATACATTTTTCATCCTAATCACTGCATGGGGGGTTAATCTGTGATAAAACCAGTCAGATGTACAATCAGACATATAATACAGAACCAAAATATTTGGCAAGAAGAGAGAAACAGAAATAGTAATTAGATAATTATTTAACTCAGAATAACAGAGTTGGAAGGGAGGTCTTCTAGTCCAACACCCTGCTCAGGCAGGAAAGCCTATGCCATTTCAGACAAATGGTTGTCCTATCTCTTCACTGGCCTGAAGCTTAGTAGGACATCTACTGTCTTATTATTAGTCAGATTTATAAGTGACTTCACAACAGGCACACAAACAGGAGGTTCCATTAAGCAGTGAATAGAAAAACAGAATTTACAAACTTCCCAGATGGCTTCTATCAACCAAAATGGTAAAAGTTTACCTTGAAGCCACTCCTGTTTCTTCTTCTTATCAGAGGCACTAATCTCAAAACATTTCTCTGAATTATTTATAAGAAAGAGACATTTTTTGCCATCTTTGTCGGGCAAGGCCTAATAAGGGAAAATTAGATTTAGTTTTCTATGAAGCATAACAAATATGACATTGAATTGACATTTACAATATTGTTTGTTAGTTCAGAGCCTCTGAACATATGAAATATCCTCAAAATAATATCCCCATGCACAAAAGTTAAATATGAATAAATGTTATATCATTTTTTTTCTAAGACAAGCTAACAAGGCATATTTGGGGCAATTCAAATTTTTCTCCCAGTTTCATGGAACAAAATGTGCCATAGATAATTGTATTGACAGAAAATATTTGAGTGATATGTATTTTTAGAACATCCATACTATAAAGATAAAAATGGTGTTGATCAATGCTGTTCACAAGGAAAGTACTTTATTCTGAATAATATTTACAAGATATGTCCCACTTCTAATGTAGCCTTTGAAGGAACAGGCATAAATTAAAATAAAGTGTGCAATTTTTTTTAGGCATGTCAGAGAGGAAAAAAACCAGCACTATAGTCTATATATACGACTCTTTTTCACTGGTTAACAAAAATTCCATAAATTAAGAATCCTGAATGGGCATTTCAAAAAATAAAGATTCTTCCCTCTTTTCATGAATACTATTGTTAGTACTCCATTGTATTCTCCATGAAAATAAAAATTCCAGAATTTATCCAACAGGTTGAATCAAATTTATGTAAGTTATGTTGTTTTCATGTTCATCATCTAGAAAAGTTTTTTTTAAAAAACGTTTATTTTTACCTCTGCAGTACAGTTGCCATCCAGTGCAATGTCTCCTCTTTTGTCTTTTAAATCTTCACTAACATAGTAGGATATAACATTTGGTTTTAAAACAAACCAACGTTCTGTCCAGTTTTTCCTTTTGTGACCCTTCTTCCACATATAACCCTATAAAAACAAAGAAGTAATTACTTTATTACATAATTTTAACTTGGAATGTTTAAATTCTTCAAGAGATATTAATCAGACTTTTCAATCCAATCACTGTAAGCATTTAAATATAATTTTTAATAAGCACAGTTTATGAAAAACCATCGAAGTAACTCAACTTTTTATTTTCAGTGAGAAAAAAATGTAAATCCTTAGAGGAAAAAAACACCCACCCTGACATTTATTGGATGGAGAGGAAGTTGAATAGAGAAGAAGTCCTCTCTACCAGTTAAGCACAGTGAGCATCAGCTTCTACTCCCCAACCTCCCCCAGTCCATGGACCGACACCTCTCCGCAGTATGCCAGAAACCAGGCTGTGCAAACAAGCGAAGCCTCATCCACGGGATGCAGGCAGCTTGAGAAATCACACCCCATCCATCCACTGAAAAACCTCTCTCCATGGAACCAGTCCCCAGTGCCCAAAAGGTTAGGGGCCACTGGATTACCTGATGTAAACAAAATTGAAAGGCGCAAATTATCATCTATCATTCAGTATCAAATAACCCTGTTGAAAATTTTAAAAGACACAAGTACATACCTGTTAGAAATCCACTTTGTAAACTATTTAAATAGTGTGAGACAGAAAGAAATTCACATTTAAAGATAGATCATTCTATTATTTAACATGAAATAATTTACTAGACACCAAAGACTCTGAATATGCCATGAATCATCCCTTGAATCTTTGCCTACCAATTTTATTAGCATAAATACCCACCAGGTTATTTTTCTTTCTTAAAACATTGCAATATGAAAGAGAACTCACATTAGAATCACAGATTTGGAAATGACTACTTAAGCATCAAATCTAATAGCCTAACTATAAAGGAATCCAAATTCAAGTATTCCTGAAAAATGGCCATGCAGCCTCCACCTGAACTGATTCGATAAAAGGGAGCCCATCATCTTCCTGGATAACTAGTTCTGTTGTGTATTAAGGCTTCACTCCGGTCCGCTATTCAAGCGGGAGGAGACATTCGTTCTGATTGGCTGTCCATCTGACAGCTGACTATAAAAGAAAGAGAATCAGCTGTTGCTGTTAGCTGAGCTGTCACTGTGAGCCAAGTTGTTAGAACTAATAAAAATTTAGCTAAACATTATGTCTCGCCTCCGTTCTTCCATCCTCTGTTCCCAGAACACAATAAGTGTAACAATAACTTCTTATTGTTAAGAGGCTTTTTCCTTCCCTAATATTCAAACAGAATCCGCCTTCCAGTAACTTACATTCATTTTTTCATGTCCTATATTCTGGAACAGATGTCTTCTATTTGAAATTCTTTCACATATCCAAAGAAAGGCAGCTAAACTATCCCAATCACTATTTATAGGTTACAGTTTTTAGTGCCTTGATCATCTTCATTGCCCTTATCTAAATATGTGCCAGTTTTTTTTTCCAAATCCTCCTTAAAGTGTGGTGATCAGAACTGGACATTGTACTCAAGATGAGATATAAATAGAATAGGGTGGAAAGGTTACTTCCTGAGTTTCAAAATTACGCTTCTATTGGCGCAGCCTGAAATTGTATTTTCTTGTTTTCAGCCACCTTACGCTGTTGATTCATACTCAGTTTGCAATGTATTATAGGTAGTCCTTGCTTAGCCCAATTGGGACCAGCAAATCCATTGCTAAATGCCATGGTCACTTACTGAAAAACCATGTGACCATGACAGATTTATAATGTCACTTCCCATGTGCTTGTTATGTGAGTCACTGCAGCTGTTAAGCAAGACATCACACAATTGCAACTTGAAATTTTACTTCCTCATTCTCCATTAATTCTGCATATCAGAATTTCTTTTGGAAAGTACAAAAATGGTGATCACTAGACCACAAGGTCCTATGACAGACATTAATGTGAGAAGAGGTGGCAAAGCTGCTGGTTTTAGACCACTGTAACTTCGAACAGCCATTAAACAAGACATTTGGTAATAAGGACTACCTATACTACTCCAAGATATTTTTCACATATCTCATGTTCTACAGTACATGCATGCATATGATTTTTGTATCCTAATAAATCTTTGAATGTTAAATCAATAAAATAACCACATTACTGGTTAAACATAAAGAAAAATAAGGGAACATTGTATCCATATAGCAAAACTAAATAAAAAGACAACCACCACACTAAATAAGCTCATCTACTATGGGGTGGGAAACCAGATACTGTCAGCTAACTCTTCTTTTTTCTCCTTCCTGAAGTTGGGAACACTGCTTACTATCTTCCAAGCCCCTGGCAATTCACAAATCCTTCAGGATGCCTCAATAATACTGCATGAGAGCTTGTTAGATTAATTCCTTTAATATCCTAAGTCCTAGGATGTCGTTTATCGGGTCCTGGATATTTACATTCATTTCAAACATATAAATATCACATCCATTGTTCCATCAGTCTCAAGCTCCTTCAGTTCTTATTTTCACAATGTCCTGACACATCACAAAGAGTTTTATTGAAGAAGACCCAACTAAAGCAAGAGTTGAGATGATCATGATCATGGTTCATCACAGTCAGCTAGACAGTCTATCCTATTTGCCTTTCAGAAAGTTATTCATTTAGGCAATCCACAAGTTTCAGTTAAACATTTATGAATCTTAACTAAACGGGTTTCCTCACTAATTCTTGTGTCTTTCTCTTCTACCTGTTTTTAGAAATCTGAACTGTAGTGTCAATTCACCAACTAAAATACAACAAATACACAATTCCATATTTTTAAAGATAAAAACTCTTCAATGCTTTACTATAAGGAGGATATATTATCCTTAAAATAAAGCACAATACGAATGCTGCTGAATCTCTGTAAAGCACTGAATTAAGTTTAAAGAAAACTAGATTTAAGCTAGATGTCTTAGATCAATTGCAACATGTGATAACTTTTCTAAAAACTTTCATGAAAGGCAAATGAGGAATTTTTTAAAAATGCTTTATCATAAAATATCAGAGCTTCGGGCAGCAATGTAATTTGTTCCATGCAGTGCTGTGAACTTATCAATGATAAGAAACTTGTGCTGTGCTCAAAGGACACTTAATCACAATGCCTTACAAAGAAAATTAAATTTGGGGAATATTAGTGAATCGCCTGACAGAACTGAGTCAGATGTGCAACCAATCCTTAGGGGCCTTGGTTGCATTAAAACTAAACCACAATTGACATGTGTTTTAAGCAAATCTTTCCCACTCTTCCTCCTTCCTAGCCATGCACCTGGACTTCTGAGATTTACGCTTCCTCTTTATGCTCTCATATGCTCCATGTTTCATGTCGTATTCAAATTTGGGAAACCACAAAAAACTGCAAAATAAATGTATGCATTTTTGTAGAATTTAAGTCCTACAAAACTTTGTTCTCTGTGCTTTTAAGATGTTTATCATCACATTACTATTTGTGGCAAACAGGATATTGATAACCACCATTTTCCCATAAGGCTACACTTTGACTGAGGGGGAGGGAGATGGCCAAGCCCGGGTTCCCACATGTGATGACTACTGTTAGGAATATAATCTAACGGTTGGGTTGGCAATATATAAATCATGTAACAATGGTGTAACTGTTTCTTTAAATCATACTGTAAAATGTGATTGGTTGCTGTTTTCCTCAATCAGCCATAATGCCTGTTAGCTCGCTCTCTGATCTGATCTGAGTGCCGTGAGCTATGGTAAGTTTTGCAACTGCTAGCAAACTTTGTGTACCGGACTGATTATATTC